AATTTATAGATACAAATCAAGAGTTTTTATTTCGAAAATTTAAGCAAAAAAATAATCAAGGTAGTATTGAAGAAAATCAATATGACCTCAAAATTTCATTTTCAAAAGATATTCCAAATCAAGCTAAACCTAATGCAGATATTTATAAATTTATTTCTTTAAGATTATCAAATAATAAATCTAAAGAATTTTATTTGGGAATTTTGTAAAATACATCAGGTAAGTATAATATTTGTTTATTAAATTTATACATTATTTTTTTTTAATTTCTATTTTATTTTAATTTAAGAATTATGGTATTATGACAAACCATTAGGAGAAAAAACGAATTTCTGGTTTATTTAAAAAAATTTGTACTGTCTGTGGAATTAATATTAATGGTCGAAATATTTCCAACCATTTGGATTGTGATACATTAATACAATCTATATTTGATGCTGGAAATGAAGAATTAGAAACAATGGCAATATTTGGACATATTTCTTCTTTGGGTATTAAAAATTATATAAAAATAAATAAAGATAAAAAAAAAAAATTCTTATTTCCGTTATTTAAAAATTAGTTGATAATTCTAATCAAGTAAGTTATTTTTTTTAAAAAATAAATTAATGAAATTATTAAAAATTTTTTTTTTTTAGAGTAATAAAATGAATAATAAAATCGATTGTGAAATAGACAGTGAAAAAATATATTAATATATTTATTTTTAATTTTTAAATTCTAGCAAAAGGTTTTTAAAACTTTTTTTATTTATTAACTTTATAATTATCTGAAGGATTTGTAAAAGCATCGAGTTTGTATATCAAAAGACCATTCAAAGAAGTTAATATTAATCAATCGTTTAATGAGCAAGATAACTTAATGGAAAAAAAACAAAAAAGTGATGACAAAATCATTATTAATAAATATTATTATAAATATTGTAATATTTATAATTAGTTAAAACGTAATTACATATTAGAAATATTAGTATTAGAGATGTAGTGATTAGCGATATTGCCAATAATTCATACATATTTCTGAATACATTTGATATTTTATATACGGTTCATTATAAAATGCCAGATAATGAACTCTTATTATATCAGTTCACTTTTCAACAACAAAAATAGATGTTCACTAAATAAAAAGTAACAAGCAAATGTTTAAGATATCGCGATTTTTGCTTTAATAATTTAATGCAATTAAAGTTATTGTTTATATCTAATTCTTATACGTAGGAATAAAAACTTTTTAGAACAAACTACATTTAAAGAAACTTTAGATATTTTTTGTGCGTTATAGTTTCTGTAATTTAGCTTGATACCTTGTTTTACATCTTTAATAATGATATAAATAGGTCGCAAGTTTTCCAAACTATTTTGTAGAATTAGTGAAAATCATAACATTGCGATAATACCACTAGTTAAAATCCAACTTATACGGCAAAGTATTCTTTCAATTAAAAAATTCCTTTATATAAAGATTAACTCTGCGAAATATTACAAATACAATACCATGGCGCGAGTAGGCATTTTCGACTACCGTGAAAAGGGTTTGTATCTTTGTTTCGGAGTTATTTTATATTTATAGATAAATTATAGTCAAACATTTTCATGAACAGAAAAAATTTCTAAAATATTTGAAGAAAGTAAAAAATTGTGATTATAATTTAATAAGTTAGGTCATTATTATTGCGATTTTAAAATTTATTTCAAAAATACCTAAAAAATCTGAATTATCCAAATCAACTAAACTTGAGTCTGTAACGAATTTTAAATTAAAGTTTTAATGAAATTTAGAAAGCAATAAACTTCATACTATCTACATTATATTCACCTGTATTGTCATCCGATAACATTTCAAGTATTTTCTCGTAATTAAGAGCATTAGTTGGTTGTGATAAGTTCAAAAAATTCAAATGTCTGCTAGTGTAAATAGCATTTGGGTGCGTTTTATAATTAATTCCCGAAGATTTGCTAGTTAGTGCTTCCATCAAAACTTCACTTTCGTAATCTTTAACTTGTTCCGTAAAATTTGAAGGTTCATCACTTTCGTCAACATTAAGCCAACCGTTTATAGTTACCCGTATTTCATAAGCACTAGGTCGCTTCGATGACCTCGCATCACAACATTGCATTATTAGTCTAACTAAAAATTTCGGAGTCTTGAATGGAATTTTTGGACGTAAGCCTTGACAGATTTG